TTACAACATAGTGGTATATAGTGAATTTTGCAAGTGCAAGGAATTATATACATTGGGGTTCTTTTGGGATTATTTATTGGCATATAGGCTCGAGGTCACTTAGTCGCTGATCTGGACCCATTGGGTATCATGCAAACAGACCTGATACACACACATTATGCAGCCCGCAAGGGGTCTCCAGAACAGGTTCTACGGCAATATATGCTTGGTAAGGCTTTTTCCCAAACCGATTCCTTTAAGTATGTCTTTAATTAGTTTTTATGTGTACCATAAGGTAAAGGTGTATGAAAATCCATAATGTTTGTTGCTGAAATTTTTGTTCATACAAATGTTAATATTTTCAAGGTATCTATGCTTATAAGACACCTTCACCCAATATGTACATCATATTTCATCTCATACTTACAGATCATGGTCTTTATCATACACATTAATTCCTTCTTAACTGTCTTCATATCCTTTTTCTTCTTTCAATTTGATGCTGCCTATATCATATAATAAGTGAACTTCTTAATTTCAGCATTCTTTTTAAAGTCAAGCATTTTACTTCATAAATTTGTATGATTTTATCATATTACATAAAAAGAACAATTATTTTATACCATTAAAAGTAAATTTAATATACACAAAAAATATTTAATTTCATGATAATAAATTAGAATAAAAATATTGATCCATTCCTTCTAAATACTGAGAAGGTGTTATGTGAATGTTATTCCATGATAGTTATATACTGATACTGAAAATGTTTTTACCAGGAAAGATTATGATGTCCATTGATTTATATTTTGTGATTTCTATTAATGTTATGTTATATACCTGTTGAATGATAATATATTTAAATGCAGTTCTGGTTTTGCTGTTTTGTCAATGTGTTAGTATTCATGATATATTGTCAAATTAAAAATTTGTGTAAACTCGGTTAAGGTAAGGAAACAATTTAGAGATTCTTGCTTTGCATGCTTATTAATATTGCTACTTTTAGATTTGCTTTTACATGTTACAATTCATTGTATGGAATGTTTATTGGTAAAACAATCTAGGATTTCCCCCATTTATATTTTATTATATTCATTTACTTTTTTTTTCTGAAAAATGTTTTCACATTGTATCTATATTGTGAGTAATTACAAATTTTTAAAGATAATTACATAAGTGGTTTATCAATGGAAAGCATGTATGTAATATGACATGCTTTAATTGTTAAAATATCATTATGAAGAAATGGTTTTTATTTTAATGTATTACTTACAATTACTGTGATGTGATGTTCACAAAGAAATGTATTTGTCTTTTAATTAGCACTTCCATGTTAATAACATTTATTCAAACGAAACATCGATCACAGTAATTTGTCTTACTAATTGTAATGAGATGATAAGTCTAACAAGTTAAACACTACTTGGTTCGTATGAATGTGGCATTAAATTGACAGATCCGTGGCCATCATATCGCTAAATTGGATCCACTTGGCATCAACAGCGCTGATCTTGATGATAGACATCCACAAGAGTTGCTCTATAATTATTATTCATTCGGTAAGCCCATATGACAGTGTCTCTGCATAAATTGAAAAAATGAAGATACTATGTGACGCACTTTCAATAACACATACCATAGTATTGAAAATATGTCAGTTAATGAAACTGCTTGTGACAAGCAGTACTCACCTTTACTGCTCCTTTGATACACTCCTGTTTTAAATTTTCTTATGCAAATCATTTATAACTTTTATCATCATAGTATTACATTTTCTATTATTATGTTTATTATTGTCACTCATGTTCTATCATCACATTCCCTTCCTGGACACAAAATACAGCATTTCTAATACACTGAAAATGAAATTCTAAATTTCTCTGGAATTACAAGGATAAAGATTTAAAGTCAATAAAAGTATAATTTTTGAGTGAAAATGTCATTCCTATATAATTGTGTTTGAGGACAGAAACTTTTGTTGTAGTATGTAAATGAAGAATGCACATGCCATTCATTAAGCTATTTATTCAGTTTAAGTCTGATGTCCACAGGAAAGAGAGCACGTACTACTTACTCTCAGGAACTACAATACCGAGTAGCTGCACTTATGAAAAGTATGTAAGAATCACAATTTAAGTGGGAGTTCTCTATTTAAAACTCTGTGAGTTATTAGTATCTTTGGGAGGCGCTGGTTCATTATGGGATTACATAAAAATTGGTATTGTAGGCAAACTGTCAAGGTGCTTGGGTCCTCTTTATAAATACTTCTTACAAATTTGCCGTACTTTGCTATAAATATGTTTGTGTCAGGAATAACTTCTAAACATTCCCTTGGAAGAACTAGAGGAGGTGGAGTGAATAAATAACATGAGTATCATAATATTTCATACATAATAATGATAAAAATTGCATTATATTTTCATGAAGTAACATATTATTTTTAAATTATTCATTTTAACTTCCTCTTTACCTTCCTCTTCTTTCATTTCTTTAATTTTTTTTTCTATATA